TTTGGGAAGCTGAGGAGGGCAGATCACCCGAGGTCAGGAGTTCGAGACCAGCCTGGCCAACATGATGTAACCTCATCTCTACTAAAAATACAAAAATTAGCTGGGCGTGGTGGTGCATGCCTGTAATCCCAGCTACTCAGGAGGCTGAGGCAGGAGAATCGCTTGAACCTGGGAGGCAGAGGTTGCAGTGAGCTGAGATGGAGACACTGCACTCCAGCCTGGGCGACGGAGCAAGACTCTATCTCAAAAAACGAAAAAAGAAAGAAGAAATATACCTCTGTATCCAAGACCATACAGCAATTCTAGAAGTAGGTCATCCCAAGTAGAAGGGCTTGTGACTCAGTTATCCCCCTGGGGAATGGAATTGCCAGACTTAACCCTGCAACTCCTGCGTTTTCTGCCAGGGGGCGATGGTGCACCACAAGAGAATTGGAAGTGTTGGGGAGCCGGTGCCGCTCCGCTCCGCCAGAACCCATCGGGGGCAAGACCCCCTAGAAGGAGGTCCCGTCCCCGCTCGCCCGCCTCCTAAACTTAGCCGCGGTGACCGCGCGGCCCGTGATCGGCGCGGGGCCGGGGACGCGAGGGGCTGAATGGAGGGGGGCGGCCTCAGCTCGGCGAGCCTCTATTATAGCGCCCGGAGCCCGAAATACGCGGAGCGGAGCGGCGGGATGACGCGGCGAGCCGCCGGGCGGCTGACTCACCGCCCAAGCGAAGCGCCCCGGATGGGGGACGGGAGGCGACCTAGCCACGCATACTCCGCGCTCCTCGCACGGGCATACTTTTTTTGCTTAGGGACAAGCCCAAGTCTCCGCTGGGAGAGGCGTGGATGGATGTACAGCAAAGGAAAGATCTGCAGCATGACGCGCACTGGGTTGGATTAGAAGATTGGGACTATCCACACCACACACACACAACCAGAACAGGCGGCGACCACGTGCTCCCCGCCTGTAATCCCAGCACTTGTGGGAAGCTGAGGAGGCGCAGATCACCCGAGGCCAGGAGTTCGAGACAGCCTGGGCCAACATGATGTGAACCTCATCTCTACTACAACTACAAAATTAATGCCAGCCCTGGTGGCGCATGCTACTAGACTCCCAGCTCCTCTGGAGGCTGAGGACAGGAAGATCGCCTTGACACCGGGAGCGATGTTGCCGTGGTCAAGATCAGCGCCTACCTCCAGTCTGGCGCAAAAACGCAGCCGACTACGTCTCAGAAACACAAAGACAAGAGACGAACGACCAATAAAAACCAGAATCAAACGGACTATTTACACTACAAAGAAGAGAAAGGGGGCAAAGCAAGGCAGAGGCTAAACAGATCCACACACTTGTTCTTCTCACACTCCCAAACAGAACTGTGATGTCGTTTGGAGGCAAAGGAATGGACTCAGTGACCCTGGGGTAGTTGCCATTCCAGAGCACGCTGCCGGTCTCTCCACTTGCGACGATTATCTTGCACACTGTTCCCATTCCCTAGAATCGTTCTTACCTTGCCTTGCTCAGCCTTCGAGGACTCCATGTACCCTCCGGACCTGGTGCGCAAGGCACTTCCTTATTTCTATTATTTTATTTATATTCCTACTTATTTAATTTGAGACACGAGTCTCTGCTCCTGTCACCCAGGTTGTAGTGCAGTGGCATGATCTTCTCATCTGCAACTCCTCCTGCCTCCTGGGTAAGTGATTCTCCTGGCCTCAGCCTCACTGAGTGCCTGGACTACAGGCACATC